CCATCAGAAAAACAACAAACAATCGGCTCATTTTCTCCTGGGTTTCTCTTCAGTGCTTTCTTCTTCTTCTTCACTAACTGAATCTCTCACCACTGCGAGATCAGAGAAGCGACCTCAAAAAACGCTAATCTCTCACTTTGATTCTGTCAAATCTCCGTAAGTTCTAATCGCATTTTCCTTTTAATTTTCCTGGTCATTTTTTTCTTCGCGACTATTATTACTTTGGGATCTATCTCTTTGTTTGCCGGAATTTCGATATCTTCTGTCTACAGGTGTGTCTAGATTTTGATCTGCCCTTGTTTAGCTATGGGATGATTATATACATGTCGATTATTACACCGACATGTTTTTGATTTCTGCAATTATCAACTTGTCGGTTTCAACTTTTTTTTTTTTTTTTAACTTTCTGCAATTATTATGAATCATATCGGAAGGTAGAGCTCTGAGCTAGTATTATCTGGGTTTTGTTGTACTCAGTGTGAATGGTGGATTGTTTAGCTATTTAATATGGTATTTAAGAGATTGGACGGTTACGGTTTCTCAAATCAATTAGGTCGAAATGAAAAATTGTTTGTTATAAATTCCTGATTTCTTTCTGATAAGTACTTTACAGGATGGTTTAAGTGATTTCATCAGGACTTTTCTTGTGTCTTTCAAGTCTTCTTTAAGGATTGAATTAGTTTTTTTGTTTTTTTTTGCACAGTCGATTCGGAGATTTGTTCAACCCGATGGGGACCATGCACCGAAGGTATATATATATATATGTTTCATGGTGGCTTGATGTAATGAACGAGTTCTGAACTGATTTCAGTTTGAGAAAGTACTTATTGTTAATCTTTTGCAGTGGTGCACCCAGAAGAACAAATGAAAATGCAAAGCTTATCATAACGACAATCGTGGGAATGGTGTTTGGTTTTTTTATCGGTATTACATTACCATCAGGTTCCTTTAGTAAGGTATATGAGGTTGGGGAGTCATAGGTATATCTTCCTTTTTGTGTCTCATTTCACCGGTTGATATATTTTGTATTCTGCAGATTAACTTACCTTCAGGCCTTATATCATCTCTTGATGTAGCCATGTCAGATGGGAAGTTATTTTCTGGTGGCAGATCGCCTGAAGAATTTGGCTCAAGAGCGTTTCCTAAGGTATATATCTCCTGAACCATATCTGTAATTTCAATGCTAACTCAACATGCTTCATTGAAGATAACTAATACAGATTCATGAGGTAGTTAACTTCTTTTGATTTTCATGCTAATCAAGTGTATCATTTCTGTTTCTATATTTCCAGATATATGTCCCAACCAATCCGCATGGTGCAGAACTACTCCCTCCTGGAATTATTGTGGCAGAAACAGATTTTTACTTGCGCAGATTATGGGGCGAACCTAATGAAGTAAGTTCTACGATCTTGTTGATGTACCAGGTGTAATGGCAACATGTACAATTGGCATAGTCTAACTATATAGTGATTGGATATATATATAACAAAAGCATAACCTCTGCAGGATTTGAAGAAGAAACCAAAATATCTCGTAACTTTTACAGTTGGGATTGAGCAGCGGAACAATATTAATGCAGCTGTTAAGAAGGTTCTGAACTTGCTCAATTTTTCCCCTCATGTTGTCAGTGTTATACCATTCTTTGTTTGGATACTATTTACACTAAGATTTGTGGTTTCATCGTCATTGCTTCAGTTTTCTGAAGATTTCCAAATTTTGCTTTTCCATTACGATGGCCGGACGACTGAGTGGGACCAGTTTGAGTGGTCAAAAAACGCAATACATATCAGTGCAAGAAAGCAAACAAAATGGTAAGAAATCTGATGGAGGTCACCAGTCACCACGATATATTCCATTATTCAAACAGTCATGAAAGTTTGTTTGATATAACGCTCAGCTTGTTTCTGTTTATCTTTCCACAGGTGGTACGCAAAGAGATTTTTGCATCCTGATGTTGTCTCAGCTTATGAGTATATATTCATATGGGATGAAGATCTTGGAGTCGAGCATTTCAATGCAGATAGGTAAATCGCTTGTCTGGAATCGTAGTTACATAGCAATTACAATCTTTACATTTTATATTGTTATTTTTCAGGTATATTGAGTTAGTTAAGAAGCATGGTTTGGAGATTTCTCAACCAGGCTTAGAGCCAAACAATGGACTTACATGGGAAATGACAAAGAGGAGAGGCGACCGAGATGTCCACAAGTAGGAGCTCTCTCTGTTTCTTTCTTTTACCGTTCCTTTGAGTTCCAATCTGTCCCTAAGTTTTTTGAGTGGTGAACAGAGAAACTCAAGAAAAACCAGGATGGTGCAGTGATCCACATTTACCTCCATGTGCTGCGTAAGGCTCTGTACACTCTTTCTCTCTCTGCGTAGCCTACTGAAGAGTGCTTATATCATTTTCGATAACAAGGTTGTTTCCCCGTCTGCAGCTTTGTTGAGATTATGGCACCTGTATTTTCTAGAGAAGCATGGCGATGTGTATGGCATATGATTCAGGTTCTTAAGATCTTTGGTCAGCTTTTGCCCTTATATTTATAGTCAGCCAATCTAACGTTCATTCACATGACTAGAAAATGTGGCGTTGGTGATGAATGTACTTAGGTTTCTGATTAAGTAATCAAAAGGAGTATCGTCTAGTCTTCCCGACCATCAATTGTGGCTTTTAAACAATCTTGTTTGTCTCTGGTGCAGAATGATCTTGTTCATGGATGGGGTCTCGATTTTGCTCTCAGACGATGCGTTGAGGTTATTTACTACCCTCTGCTTCCTGTGTAAATCCTTTTATGTCACGAACTCTCCTTGTTAAATCTCCACCTGTCTGCATTCTCTTCCATTTGCAGCCTGCTCATGAGAAGATTGGCGTGGTGGATTCACAATGGATTATCCATCAAGTGATTCCTTCCCTTGGAAGTCAGGTGATTTTACTTTTTAACTCTGAGCAGTTGCTCTTATAATCTCTGAATGATCTCTTATGACTCAATAATGAAATTTGACAGGGTGAGTCGGAGAAAGGAAAATCTCCATGGCAAGGGGTAATAATAATAAGCGCACGTTATTAATCTTACTAATATAGATAACTTGCTTCTCTATCCTCTGGAAAATCTCATTGTGTGTGTGTGTTGCAGGTGAGAGAGAGATGCAGAAACGAATGGACGATGTTCCAGAATCGCGTGGCAGAAGCAGATAAACAGTACATGGAACAACACAAGGTAGAAGGATAATTGGGTACTAGGAGACAGATCGAGTGTAAATGAAGCTTTCGTTTCCATGATCAACCGAGTGCAAGGAGACAGATCTCTGTAGTTACTCTCCTTAGTTTAAAACCTCTGAGATATACATATCTATGACTTTAGCTTTTATAATATCTTACTACAGTTTTTTTACTACCTGATATTGCAACTACAGTGATGATATTTTCTTGATTAGATGCAAAATATGTCTCCGAATGACATTCCCAGATTTTATTACAATCCAACCTACACGTTACACATGAACACAAATAGAACACTAACTCTTTATTATCCGAACACAAGAGTACACAATTACCCACAAGATCTTGTGCAATAAGACAAGACTTGAAAAGGTTAAGTCCAATGTCAGAAATCAAAGAAGCAATGTCAGATCAGAAGAGTTTTCTCTGGAATCCTGAATCGATGTTTCTCGAAATTTTGGTAAGCTTCATGGGAGCTCCAGGGCAGGGTGTGTGTGAACCATTGCTTGACTCCTCTATTTGAAGACGGAGAACTAAACTGAAGACGTTTTGATACAAAGACTCGACGATCTCTTCGTCGGAACAAGTAGTAAGAGAATCAATCCTCATGTGATCATTGTAGTGGTCACATAGTGGAGACAGTGCAATGATTCCACTCTCTGTATTACAGATAGGAGTTATGGGTTCCACATAAGTTGTTGTTCCTTTAATGGAGTTCTCTAAAACTTCACATTGATCTTCATTGTCACAATACCTTGGCACAACAATAAAAGCATAGTCATGTAATAAGTGATAAGTAATCAAACAATCGTAAGAATAATCTATAACATTTCCATTACTAGCCACACAATTTCTATCACAATATTTTCATGTAACTGTTGTTAAAAGTCCGGTAAATGGTGACTAAAACTCTGTCGTAAAATTCATCACAATAATTGTTAATCTTTTGTATTCGTATTCATAGACACAATCACAATCTTGTGATGTATAATCACAATCACATCACAAAAGACATCACAATCTTTGCATAAAGATTATATTTCATACTATCATCGAAGCTTTTATTCCACTTAATTAGGAGCAATTCACAGTATGAACAGATATATTCATTGAAATGACAACAAATGAACAAGTATAAACAAATATATTCATTGAAATGACAACAAATGCATATTCTGATGTTATATATGGATACAATCTAATGAAATTTTGTGTTCTACAGATTAATGAAAGTCATCAGTGAGGATACTTCAAGAAAAAATTCAAAGAGGAAGAAAAATGCATACCTTTGACTCATGAGATCTGTAAGTAATTAACTTTTTGTTTATCTTTGCGCATTTTTTAGGGGTTTTAATGTTTATAATCTTGAGAAAAGGAGATAGGGAAGAAAGTGTTGGCCCATGTAGTCATTAGACCCAATTTATTTATTTCGTAACTAACTTATGGATTAGTGCTGTATTTTTCAGATTTATCACAAAACTTTTTATGCTTATTTTAAAGAAACATTAATGGAAAATGATGTGTAAAATAGAGAAAAATCAATCGTAATATCTTTAAAATGATAATTACGATATAAAATGCTATTTAGGATTCAATTCCAGTGGCACAAATGACCAATATATAAATAAATCTAGCATATTTGGTTGATGTAATACATAGTTTGTTATTTATAGAAAACCTATGGGGTAAATTAAACTTTATCTCTATTCATATTTTTTTTTGTATTTTTAGCTAATTACATATTTATTGATACTTTTCCTATTGTAAAAAACAAATATAGTGGTATGTTAGTATTGTTATTGTGTCATCATCCGCTTTAAATTTGGAATATGTTTTTGATTAAAAAATGTGGCAAACATTTTTTTTTTTGTTTTAAAACACATGTCATAACTTTTTATAGTAAAGATCAAAACAAACATGTCATTGTCATCATACAACGATTACAAGACTTGAAAGGAGACGACTAAACATATAAAACTCTAGACTTATAAATATATTTATCTCTGTCACTTTAATCATCAAAGATGTTGCACAAAGTTAAAAACATCAAAATGTTTGTTACTCAAAGTTAAACAAAAAAAGAATCAAAATGTTTTTTTTTTAGTAGAATGTTAAATTTATTCGAACAAAAAAAACTATTTTACAATAATTTTTTTTAGATTATATGTGCCTTAATAAAACTGAAAAATGGAAAAAAAAAAGTTTAACAAGATTCGAGAATTATATCGAAGTGTTGTTTACATCGTTTCCAATTCAAATGCATTAAAAAGATTTTTCAAACGCAATATAATTTACGATTTTTGGGTAAGTACTTTTTGGCATTCTTAAAAAGAATAGATATTTAATTCTTTGAATATTTTTGGGACAATTCTTTTTAAAATTTGGGTATTTCGTGGTGTTATTAAGAAATTTTTGCAAGCATCGGTCAAACCCAAGTCATAATTACTCATTTAAAAAAAAGCCATTGGTCTCAATTTGATTCGGACCAATTTTACGCACCAAATCACATATGAGGGAAAAAAATATTTAATTAAAAACAAAATTTGTTTCTAATTTCGCTTTGCTTCATCAGTTTTCCCACTGAGTCCTCTTCCTCAGTGCGGGTTTCCTAAAAGTTTTTTTTTTTTGTTTTCTGGGTGGCGAGAAACCAAGAGAAAATCTCGTGACCCTGTTCTCTCGAGAGCCGCACACAATCTCTCTTCTTCCTCCATCGATGTAATAATTCACGCGAAAAAGAAAAACTCCCTTCTTTCGAAGCATTTCTCGTAGGGCCTAGTGGATTGCGAGTTTTGTTTTTGGTTTGCCCCTCAAACAGCGATCGAGGGAATTTATGAGCACGAGATCTCGATTCCCCCATACACGTAGGCCTTGGCTTCTCTTTCATGTTCCTTTGTTCCTTTCAATCTCCCAATTCCTCGATTTTCTGGGTCCCCTTTTGCCTCTCTTCTCTGTCTCCTTCTCGAACATTTCGGTTTCGCTTTTATACAACTCACGATCGTATTCTTCTTTCTCAGTTTCTGGGTTTTGTTTGTTTCGTAGAATTGATCATCGCCTCTCTCTCTTCAGTTCCTATATTCGTATATAAAGCTGTGATTTTTATTCATCTCTCGTTTTTGGTAATCAGTAGGGTTTGGAATCGGGGCACAATGCAAATGAATCCTGTTTCGAAGCTGGCTCTGTGGTTAATACTTCTCGGCTCAGGTTTGTACATCTCCATAGAGCTCCCTCTCTTATGGGTTTATGGAGATTTTGGACTTGTTTCTGATGTTTTTTGTAACTGGCAAATTGTATTAGTTCTTGTCTCCTTTGCGGAGCTTGATTATGGTCATTGCGAAAGAGTTGTGAAAAAGTGGGCAGATTCTTCTTCATCTTCTCGTGAAGAGCATGTTATTAACAAAGACAAACGCTCGCTTCAGGATTTGCTCTTTTTCCTCCATGTTCCCCGAACTGGAGGCAGGACATATTTTCATTGGTGATGATTTCTCTTACCAAAAGTTTTTGAGTGAATTGAAAAGATTCTCTTATGATCGGTGTGGTTAATGATGTGTGTTGTGCTTTTTTAGTTTCTTGAGGAAATTGTATGATAGCTCTGAGGAATGTCCTCGATCTTACGACAAGCTCCACTTCAATCCAAGGTATCTTCCTCCTCTCTTCTCTCAGTTAACTTCATGTCATTATTTGATGCAAACATTCTGTGGCTTATGGAAACAAGAAGATCACAAATAGTGAAGCCTTATATAGAATGCTGTTTGTACATTCTTTGGATTGATAAGTTGACTTTTTGACACCTATGAGATCAATAGATGGTTTCATTACTCAAGTTTTAGTTTTCCTTAAATATTGTATCATATTAGAATCACTGAAGTTCTTTTTTTTCTTTCTCAGCCTCCTTTAGCTAGTAAGAGTATTACCTAGGAAAACCCTATGCCATTGTCAATTATGGTCATACAAACTCGTGGTTTGCTTATGAACCTATTTAATTAATATTTTCTAGTTCCTCCCGCTTAATAATAACACGGTAAAGTAAACTTTCTGAGTCCTATTTTGATTGTGAGTGTTAAGAAATATTATCATGTTTTTTCTGAAGTTTTCCAACATACCTTCCTTCTTGTACTATATTCATGCTCGTCAATCTGTATTTAATCCTTGTCTGTTAATTGTTTGGGATATTTCGATGTGGCAACCTGCTTTTGCATCTTGCTCCAGAGTCATGACTTTATGAGTTTTTGCTTCTACTGTAATTTAGTGACAGTTAAGATCGCTTGGACTTGTAAATTTATAGGAAGGAAAAGTGCAAGTTGTTGGCCACACATGATGATTATAGTTTGATGGCGAAGCTTCCGAGGGAGAGAACCTCAGTGATGACAATAGTTCGGGATCCTATTGCGCGTGTGTTAAGCACATATGAATTTTCAGTAGAGGTAGCAGCTAGGTTTTTGGTGCATCCCAATCTAACTTCTGCAACAAGGATGTCTGGCCGCATACGCAAGAATAATGTAATAAGCACACTAGATATATGGCCATGGAAATATCTGGTTCCATGGATGAGACAAGACCTGTTTGCTCGGGTATGTCGATTATTACCATTCGTCTTCTTTGGCTGCATACATATATGGCTATTAGGCTCGTACATGACAAGAGCACATAAACTATTGACTGAAGCTTGTTACTCATGCTTGGCCTTTCTTAGCGAGATGCTCGAAAACTTAAGGGCGTAGTTATCATTGAGGACGATAACCCGTATGACATGGAGGAGATGCTTATGCCTTTGCACAAATATCTCGATACGCCTACTGCTCATGACATAATTCACAATGGAGCGACATTTCAGGTACTTTCGTGCTGTTTGTTTTACTTTTTTCAAGTTATTGATCAGAGATCTCCAGAGCATTTTCATTTCATTTCACAGATTGCAGGATTGACAAATAACTCCTATTTATCAGAAGCACACGAGGTCCGGCATTGTGTGCAGAGGTACAAAAGCCTTGGGCAGCCTGTTCTCCAAGTCGCCAAGGTAGTTACACTTGTTTTTCATCATAATACACTGTATCTTGGTATTCTTATCTTTAAATCTGTATATTCTATAAGCTTTTTGATCTTGCAGAGAAGGTTGGACAGCATGTTGTATGTTGGACTGACTGAGGAACACAGGGAATCTGCATCACTTTTTGCCAATGTAGTGGGTTCGCAAGTGCTTTCTCAAGTGGTTCCGTCAAATGCAACTGCGAAAACCAAAACTACTAAATCAGGTTGGTGTAAGTTTCTCTCACCTTTCAGTTTTCGTTAGACCATTCTGTTCTATGTGAGGAGAACCTAGCAACTTAGAGTGAGGGTAATGGATCATTCTGTAGTTACATTGTACAGTTGGTCGGAGTACTGGTTTTGGCCTATGATTAAGGTGTTGACTGGAGATGGTTTTTACTTTAGTTTGGGCTTTAAAAACTCCAACTCATCATCATACATTCATTCAAGTGTTTTTAAACTTTTGATATTCCATTAGCTAGGTATTTTTCTTATGTTTACTGTATCGGTAGGGTTTAGTCTTATAGGAACAATCTTTCTATTCAAGACCTAAAGCTTGATGGTCTCTTATCATGAACACTGTTGTTTCCCTCATATGTATGCATCTTTATTTGAAGATTTTTCTGCTCTTTATCTTTCATTGTCACACAACTTTACATATAAAGGTTCTCTTGCCCTCTTTTGGTTGAGAGTTTTATCTTGTTATTTATATTTTGTGGCTTACTTTTAGTTTCTTAGAGTAAGTAGATTGATTATATGACAGTTGCTGTGGATACAGGCTTTCAATTCATTTTGCTAAATCTAACGTACCAACTGTTGTACTTGCAATCACAATAATACTCAACTTTATTATCTTGATGTTTCAGAATCAGGGTCGGGTAAGAGTGAAATTCAGGTAAAGTCCTGCTCTTCAAGGTAATAGTTTTTTTGGTTCGGCTGTCAATTGTAATCGGTCTTGCTGAAAATGACTGTGACATTGCAGAATGGTACATCTGAAGTTGCATTGAGTAAGATGGACGTTAAGAGTGGGAATGTAAGTAAATTTCCGTCACATTTAAGAATTATGATCAATGAGTAAAATGGTGTGATTTTTATGTCTACTGAATACACTTCAGATGACGGTAAAAACCCTTATGGAAGTCTATGAAGGCTGCATTTCTCATCTACGGAAGTCCCAGGGAACAAGACGGGTCAACTCCTTGAAGAGAATTTATCCAGCAAATTTCACGAGAGGGGTAAAGTATTTTTGTAATTGATTCAAACCCGCAAGAAATAATGAGAGAAGGCTTGAATAATTAAATCTCTGGATAATCCATCTTTGCAGACGCGTACAAGAGTTCCAAATGAGGTCATTGAGCAGATCAAATCTCTTAACAGCCTTGATGTGGAGCTTTACAAGTATGCAAAAGAAATATTTGCCAAAGAGCATGAACTAGTGTCGAAGAATTTGGTTTTAACTGTAAGTTCCTCTTCTTTGTCCAAAGATGTTAAACTATTGTTTGCGCATTTTTCGCGTTTTGTCTTCCTCTTTAAGTTTCTCATTCACAATATGTGTGTTTGTGCAGTCTAAGAGAAGCATCGTTGATCTTCCGAATGAGTTAAGGAGCGTTTTCGGAGAAATGAATGATGAGAAGCTATGGAAGTTCGTTTCATTGGCATTGATGCTTTTATTGCTCTTTCTCTTCTTTCTATTTGTAAACGCTAGAAGAAGAAAAACCTCTAAGGTTAAGATTTGATCCTTGTCACTTTCTTTGGGCCAATATCAGCAATCTGGAGAAGCTTTTGGGTCCAATTGTAATATTATCTTCTTTTCGACTTTTCGTGGAAAAGAAAAAGTTTTGGGTGTTGAAAAAGGAAAATCAGATATAAACATATCTTCTCCCTTTTAAATGGCAAATATACAGTCACAAAACTATCCTTTGTTATAATTAAATATATGATGAGCATATAAGTATATATCAAATTTTAGCTCTTTCTTTGTAAATGATTTTAGATTACTGATAAAAATGAGCTTTCAGAACTCATTATTCATACTATGTTTTATAAGAACCTTTTTTTTCAACAAGCGACCAATAAGAATTTAGATTTAATAAAATTTCGCTTTTTTGCAAGAATTGACCAGACTGTTTTTCACGCAAATTGAATGTGCAATTTATAGTACAGTCTACATTATTTAAAATTGGATAAATAATTAATACAATTTTCACAAATGGGGAAAATATATCCCCACATG